ATTACTCATGAACTGATATTTACCAACCTTTGTGTCTCCCATGAATCCCAAAGCACATCAATTACCGTCCACTCAATGTGCATGCTATTCTTTCCTGACTTAACCCACTAGCATTGGCCTTGAGGTCTATTGCTCCTTCACTTGCCATGATAAATTTTATTTCTACTTGGAAGACCTTGCTTGTTATTGGTTAACCACTTTCTCTGTCAATCTTATCACAGAAAATACCCTTAATCTATTCACCTAACACCCTCCATCTGTTGCATTGTCCATGAATTGATATGTACCAAACCTTTGTATTTCATAAGGATCCCAAAACATGTTAATTATTACCAGCTCAATGTGCTTGTTGTTCTTTTCTAACTTATGACATTTCGAGGTGTTAACCAGACCCTGTTTTGTGTAATTGGATAGCCGGTGGCAAATTTTGAAGTCATTTCTCACTTATTTTGACCAAACAGATCAGGAAGAGGAAGTAAATAAGACAAGACGAACAAAGTAAAGGACAAAGGAACGAGATGATTCCTAACAAGAAAATTACAAAGTAGAAACCTATTAGATGTGGATACCAACTCTAATGACCATGACATGCACCTGTGGCCTATTCTGTTGAGCAAGTCTAATGTTCAACTCTTGTTATACCCCTAAACCGTGAAACTGGGCTTCAATGCTCTAATTATCCAATCTGATTCACAGTCCTTATTCTACTTGTAATGCCCGAAGGGTTTTCACCATTATGCCTCTCTCATTTTGTTTTTTCTCTCAACTTACTGTCGCCTTACGGTGCCCGCGAGGGTTTTCACCAATAAGACTCTCTCATTTTTATTTTTCTCAGCTCCCGTCGCCCTACAGTGCCCGTGAGTGTTTTCACCAATAAGACTCTCTCATTTTTATTATTTTTCTGCTTGGACCAGAGTGTTGCCCCTGATATGAATTACCTCTCCTTGCTTGACTTGGCATCTCTCGAAGACTGATCGAAAGGTCTTTCTTTGGACCGTAACGTGGGCTTTTGGATAGGGTTAAAAAGAAAGGATATCAAAGGCTCAAAACAATTCACATAGGTTCAAAATTACAACTTTCAGAATCAGATTTTCTACAACAACCACAACTTCTTCCCCAGTTTCATGCTTGGGGACTTTTGGATTTTTATTTTGATGGGACCGAATTGTGAGGCTGCCTACGTATCCTTAAAAGGAATAAGGTCGAACGTAGTTCATGTCATAGGAATTACTTTGTTTGTTGTGTTTTTTCTTCTCTTTTTCTTTCTCTTCTTTTCTTCTTTTTGTTTTTCTCTTTGTTGTTTTTTTTCTCTCTCTTTATTTTTCTTTTCTTTCTCTCTTTCTTTTTCTTTCCTTTTTCTTTTCATTCTTTTCTTTCTCTTTTCATTCTTTCTTTCCCTTTTCGTTTTCTTTCTGTTTTTTTCCTTTCCTTATCTTTACGCTTGTGTTTCTGATATTTGCTATTGATTCCAAAAGAGGGTATGAAAGAAAATAAATGAGGCTCAAAGGGGTAACGAGGTATAAAGTGTTTAGATAGAAGAACAAAATGCCTTCTTCATTTCAATCTTCAAAACATGCCAAGTACAAACAACACAATTAAACAAACCAAGGAAAACATTCGTAACATCTTTTGATTGTGCCAGACTTGATGACCATATCCACACATTCGCCTTCTACATCTGTTACATACAAAGCACCATTGGAAAACACTCTCACTCTCACTACCATGAACGCCCCCCTACAAATTTGGGGCAAACTTGCCATTATCTTCACCCGATGCAGCATGATGCATTCCAATAGTGTATTTTTATGTTCTACCTGCCCCAGTTTCACACAATTCGGGATGAAGTGATCTCAAAATGCCTTCACTTATTTCCCTCAAATGTCTCTACATCTTCAACAATGTTTCTTTGCTTCGTGACTAAACTGACTTTTTAAAACCAGGCTGAGAATTACGCGTGCATGTCATGTCATTAGAGTTAACAGGAAAAGAACTATGAAAAGAAAAGAGAACTAAACGAAAATGACTAGAAATTACAGAAAACAGAACATTGCATTAGACAGATGGTGAAAGGGTTTGGAAATCAAAACAGACAAACTAAACTGGGGTTACAAACCTAGAAAACACTAAGTGAGATAATACGACTAAGGAACTAGGCGAAATAAAGGATAGAAGGATTTAAGTCACAAGACGATACCCGGATTACAACCCTGCAATAACCTGGACAATAGAAATGACAACAAACTAAACCACCAAAACTCTTCCCTGGCTAACCAAGACAGGAGCGTCTTCCCAATTGCCAAGCTCGGCATCTTAGCCACTGAATTCTGCATCAACATTACTAGGACCTTCACAAACTTCCATCACATTGTTCTTAGCAAATTTCTTTTGGGTTCCCTTTGCCTGCTCTTTCTTAGGATCAACCTCTAATAGCACTGAAAGCTTTGTAGCATGTGGACCTACGAGGTTCTCATATTCCTTTTCAAAATAAATCATACCCATCATATGCGTCTCATTTTACATAGGCGATGGACTTTGGCTAGTGTCTGCTGCATCTGGATTTTGCACGACAATGTCGCCTGCATCAATAAGCTTCTGAATTTCTTTATTCAGATTCCAACACTTCTATATGTCATGCCCCGGGGCATCNCTGGGAAAGTGATGTACGACTTTGGGAGTTCTGTAGGGAGAAGTAGCATTGGGGAGGATTACAAATATATCCACGAGGTCGACATTGAGGCTGAAAGCGTTTAGCAAGAACGGCCACTGGACCCTATCGTCCGCGGGGCTCACCAACATCTTTTCTATCAATGGGAGGACTATCCCGAGCAATTTGTTCGTTCCATCTGAGCCAAAAATCCCTAAAACTTTTCTTGGGTTTCTTTTCCATTTGAGATAGGGAGGAGCAGTCTGGGACAACACCCGATCTGTATTGAAAGTATCGAACAAAATCTTGAGCCATGTCACCCAATGTAGGCCACTTACCAACACCTTGACGATTATGCCATTCCAAAGCTGCCCCGGTCAGGCTCTCACTGAAGTATGCCATCAGCAAATCATTTTTCTCTCCAACACTTCTCATTTTACTGCAATAATCCCTTAAATGGGCTACCGGATCCCCACACCCATCATACAAGTTAAACTTTGTCACTTTAAACCCCGAAGGCAGACGAACGTCGGGGGACATAGACAATTCTTTGTAAGACATGCTACCCTGGTCTCCCATTCCTTGCTTGTTCTTCAAAGATTGTTCTATGCCTTTCAGCCTCTTGGGTATCCCATCTTTCCCTTCTCTTCTTTTTGTAGCTTTCATTTGCAACATGAGGCTCGTCCCGCGGGCCTTGTTTGTATGAGTAGAGAACATTGTGGGCAACCTCTGAGGGGTAATATTGGGCATCATGAGCTTTGAAGGAGTATTCATTGTCGGGGATAGTGGATGTGACAGGAGGACGATTTTAGGGAGAGGCAATTGGAGGATGAGTGATGGAGCTACTGCGTCGGTTGGGAAAGCTGTGATAGGCGGGTAGAACTGGAGAGTATGAAGGATCATCTAGCATTGTGTTCGGAGCTTGGGTAAGGGCGACATCTAAGAAACTAGGTGGTGGTGGGGGTGGTGCCTTCCCAGTCATCCCACTTGATACATGTCTGCCATGTGTTGTCTCAACATCTTTACCTTTTCAGCCAACCCATTGTCCTGTTCAACTAATTGCTTTTGGGTGCCTGTATCAACCAACTCAATTTTGTTGTTGTCCGCCATTGCCTTTTGACTTTATGTTGTGGAGAGGAGTTACTACTTCGAGAACCACAAACCAACCACCTTTCTTTTCTGAAGATATCAAAAGGAACAAAATGGGGTCATCCCGTTAGCGTTAGGGCATTTAACAACAAAAATATCACATTGCATGGAATGCACCTAGCAACAATTAATAGTTCTAGAATGACTTCGAGGGTCATAAGGTCACTTGGCATCATCCCAATTTATTCATTTCAATCCTCTGTTTTCTTTTCTTTTCTAGCACTTCTTGGCTTGCCCATTTTCCTTCATTTTTTTTATCATCACTCTTTTCTTTCTCTCAAATCTCACATCCCACAATTTCACCTATTTTTTTTGTTTCCTTCTTTTTTTTCCTTTTTTTTTCTTTTTCTTGTAATAATAAAGAAGAATGATTTGATCGAACCCTATGTAGGTTGCCTACGTATCATGACCCCGCATGAATCTGATCTTTACATAGTTCTGGAAGATCGAAAATAAAGTAAACAAACTAACGTTCTCATTTTTTTTCTTTAAAGACTACTCTGACGAGAAAAGGGAAACAAAAGAAACAAATCTTTTTTTTCTTTTTTTTATTTTTATTTTTATTTTTCTAGACTTAATGTTCTATAACCTATTCTAAACTCAAGCTTAACGAGCATATATTTTTTTCTTTTTGAAAGAAATACTCTATGAGAAATTATTAAGGAAAATCCCTACAAGAGAAAAATATTCTTTTGATTTTTTTTCTTTTTTAAGAAGGAAATCTAAAGACTAGACCAAAGAAAAATATTTTGAATTTTCACTTGATATCCTGAAGAAAAGAGTTCGAAACAAGAAATGAAAAAGATAAAAAAACTGTTTTTGGATTTGAATTTTTGATTACTTAAGGAAGAAACTCTGAAAATAAACCAAAGAAAAAGTATTATTGTTTTCTTTTTCTTATATGTACAATGTCCTAAAATTCTAATAAAAGATTTTTTTTCAAGTCATTTTTCATCAATTTCCCAAAAAAAAAACCTCAACAGAAAATCTTTTTGGAATTTTGGATTTAATATCTTAAAAGAATTTTTTTTAAAGAGATACTAAAGAAAATTCTTTTTTTTTGAATTTTTGGTCTTAATATACTAAAGGAAATGTAAAAGCAATTTTTATTTTAATATTAATTGCCTAAATGAAAAACAACCTCAAAGGAATTTTTTTTTCATTTATAGAATTAGTATTCTAAAGAAAACTTATAATGAAAATATAAAAACGCAAAATTTCTTTTTTTCTTTTTTTTTTTACTTGTAACACAATTACAAACTTAACTAGACTATTACAAACTCTAACATCACCTAAAAGGCCGAATACTACTATACATGACTAGAAAGTAAAACATGAACAATTGACTCAAAAATATAAAATGACTCCTCGAGCAACTTCTGAATGCAGTGATCCTGGGGTATCTGTCATGCCCAAACTCCAGTAAGTAAATCCACACCTGTATAAGAAAACTTAAACCAACACTATGTGAGACAATAACATTCCCTACTAGACACATGCAAGGCATGGTTGCGACTATTTTCTAAAATTAACCTATGTGGCTAAAAGTGGCTAAAAATGCAAGATTTGGCTAAGATCCCGCGAAGCCAAGAACCTAATCTCACTAGGAAGACCAAACCCTATGTGGGTTGCCTACGTATCATGCCCCGAAAGACGAGAATCAGGTATGCGTAGTTCGGGCAATTTGAATACTGGCGAGAATTAAAACAAAATAGCTAATTTAGAGAAAATATAGTTTTTTTTAATCTTTTCCTTGAAAATGATGAAACATGCAACATCTTTTTTTTTGGATTTTCTTTTCCACTTTTTTTTTTTTTTTTTTTTGATTTTTTATTTTCGAAAACGATGAAAAAGTGCAAAATCTTTCTTTTGAATTTTCAAGCTCTTTTTCCTTAACAAAAAATGTGACAGAAAACATAATTGGGGCCCACTCTATTCATAATTCACCCTCTCTTTTTCTTTTCTTTTCCATTTTTTTTCATTTGCCCTCAACTATCATTAGTCCGCCAAATGACCCCTTTACCCTCGAAGAAATGCAACATGTAGCACATAGGATGCATCAAGATGGTCTGTTATTTTGGGTACACCTGTCCTAGACAGACCCAACTCCTGTGTTGAGTCTCGAAAGTCAAAATGCACATGATGCAAACAAACGTTCCTAATAGGGATCCGACATGAGGTATTGTTATACTAGGTTTAAAAACCTGGGTTTATTTGTTCTAGACATGGCTTACCTGAGCAGAAAACTCAAGCCGGGGGGGGGCTGCGTACCTGTAACCAAAAGAACATCCGGCTTTGCAACTTGTCCGAACCTCGTTCTATTTGGAATAGGACTCTAACAGAAAGAAGTCACGATCAACGTGCAGTCCTCGGGAGAGAGACGAGAGGGGTTTCGTAGCAATTTATATACAGTTCAGATAATATCAAAGCGGCAAAAAGCAACATTTAGCACATTAGGCCCAAACATGTAAATAAGACCAGATAATAAATAAAGCCCAATATAAGAATTATCCTAAGCTCGAATTCTTGAACCCTGAACCAGAGATTCTGGGTTCGTCCCCAGTAGAGTCGCCAGAGCTGTCACACCTCCTTTTTACCTACACCCCCGGAAAGATGTATAAATAAGGGCGTTTCTCCAATTAAAGGACAATCGAAATGGGATTTACATTAAAAGTTTCAGAGTCGCCACTTGGGAGATTTATGGTGTCCCAAGTCACCAGTTCAAATCCCAAATCGAGGAAAAGATTGACTCTGTATTACAGTACACGAACCAGAAATCCGGGTAAGGAATTCTGTTAACCCGGGAGAAGGTGTTAGGCATTCCCGAGTTCCGTGGTTCTAGCACGGTCGCTGAACTGTTATATTCAACTTAATTATCTGATTTTAAACAATTATGAACCTATGTGCAAATTTTTACTTAACCACTTCTATTTAAATATTTTTTTAGGAAGATTCAACGTTATTAAGACACGCCTCGAACCACCTCACATAAATGCACCTGTGACTTTCGACATATTTTAACATTGTTGAGATTTGGATTCCAGTCACATAAATGCGCACTCGAATTGGAGATAAGATATCATGACTATGCCATGAGAAACCGTACCCATAGCCACGATATTTAATAATAATCGCGCCTAAAGCAAGTTAGGATGTTCATAATTGGTTTATTTCCCATGCTTACGGCCTAATGGTCTAGTCTAATAGTCAACCCCCTGTCCCCCAATCTATTACCTTCTTTCTTTCTCAATTAACTTTAAACTAACATTAGAATTCCCATCCCAAAATAAACAATAACATGATAATTACAAACAAAACTGTTACCAACCTAAATGTTCCTTTTAAATAAACACGATTCACATGCATTAACTTTAAAGAAATAAAATGGCAAATTAACATGTAACAAGACCAAGCAATAAATGGTGAGCTGAAACATGAATCTAACAAATCCACCCACGGCATAAAACGAACTAAATTTACTAAGGCTACATAATGAAAGGGAAGTTAATCCGAAGAGCAACCGCAGAACAAAACCCATTAAGTAAACTGACAAAAGAAAATAGAGGTAAAATAAGTATAAGAATAGACCTTACGCGATAAACTTTCTTTACATTTAGAAACCAACTGTGAACAAAGCCTCGAACGAACATGAGACGGTCATGGACCTCCGCCAGAATCTCAAACCAAACTGAACAGACCCAACGAACTCGACGAACTCGACTCGATCCAACTTTCTCTTTTGAATTCAGACTTGGACGTTTTTTTTGGTAGACAAAGAAGATGGGGTGTCGTCGGTGGCTGGACTGTTGCTTCAGCCTGAAGATGACGAAGTCCAATAGGGGAGGGGAGAGGTCATGTGTCATGTATTCGGCGCAGCTCTAGATTTCAGTCCATATCCCAAGTGTTATTTTGTGTTGTCTTCTGCCGGTTGCTAGTTGTTACTGAAGAAGAAGAGAACGACAGTGGTTCATTTTTGAGAGGACGGAGACGGGGAGGGGGTGAGAGGACGGAGACGAAGAACGACAGCCCCCCAGATTTATTGTTCCCTTTTGTGAGGTGTTCTCCACTCATATCCTTTTCTTTACTCTATTCAATAATGCACTCCCAACCCCACCACTCTAGAAGCTTCCTAATTAGTTAGGTAAGACTCACCAATTTAAACAATCCCTAGACTACACTTAAAACCCCATGTTAATTACTTCAAAAATCAAATGGGTCAAATTGACCCAAGATTCAGCCTACCAAATTAGATTAATTACTCAAAATAATAATTATCCCAACTAATTAAATATCAAATTAAAAGGAAATTGCCAAAATTCAAAAATTAAAGAGCAAAATGCAACATGACTATTTTTATGATTTTTTCTATTTTGTCAAACAACAACTTACTTAATTAATCTAAAATATGTAAAATAAAATCCTAAATGCAGATGCAATATATATATATATATATA